AGTAGATGAAAGCTGACACAATGTAATGTCTCCAACAATAGCAAATACTATGGTAAACATTGAAATGATGAGACCATTCAGTGATGCCTGCCATTACCAAAATTTACATATATATGGAATATTTTAGCTAATGCAATAGGATAAGAAAATGAATTCATTGATGTAACTGCTAAAATAAGATACAATATTATATGATATATGATTATATATGGAGAAATGAAAGAGACCTAAATAAATTCCTTAAGAAGTAGAAAAATAATTTGCCAAGAAGCATGAACTTAAAAAAAGTACATAATGAACAGATTTTATTTGCAACAACATATATTGAAAATAAATAAAACAATACTCCAAACACAATAGTAAATATACATGCATATGTTTATAAACATCTAAAAGTTATGAACTATATGAAATAAACTATAATATCGTATTGAAGAAAATGAAATAGGATCTAAATAAAGAGAGATGTAAAAGGTGCCTCTAATAGGAAAACATAGTATTTTAAAATGTCAATCTTGCTGAAATTATTGAAGTGGAGTGCACCTGCAATTTGTAATCCTATCGAAAGTGGATAAAGTAACTTAAAAATATATCACAGATCAAATACCCGAGTTAAGCAAAGTGTAAAAAGAAAATAAATAGAAGAGGACTTAATAGGTTTAATGTTAAAAATACAGTAAGATGTTAAAAGAATGTAAAATATATTTTCAGCACATATATCTAACGGTTAATATAACTGATTTACAGAGACTCAAGCTTATTGACAAAATATAACATATATTCTCAAAGATAATAGACCTGAACGGTCACTTAGAGAAAATAAAATTAAAGTGTCCAATACACATATGAATGCATACAAACTAAAACATCAAAGAGAAACCATGTCTCACTCACTGGATTGGCAAACACAATTTCCTAAGCGACATTCCAACATGGGTGTAGATTTGGAGAAGCAGACATTCATTGCTGGTGTGAGCCTGCCTTGAAAGAACTGGTACCGGTTAAAAGTGAAAAGGAGAACACTTTTTGAAAACATATAGGAGAAAACCTTTGTGACTTTTGGTTATAGACAAAAAGATAGTTATCGCAACAAAAGCTTGATCCATTAAAAAAACTGGTAAATTGATAATTTTTAAAAACCTTTTATGCTTCAAAAAACACCATTAAAAAAAGGAAAATCTAGTCCCAGAGCAGAGAATGAGAATCCGGGCTTGGTCAAGGACAGGAGATCTGCTGGGAGCAAGGAGGACAGGTAAGCCCGTGAGGGTCAGGCCGGGCTGGAGTGAGGGGTCCCAACAAACACCCAGTTCCCCTCTCGGGAGACATGGTAAAGTTTTTTCAGGCCAAGATACTAAAGAAACCATGTCAAACGTCTCTGAAAAGCAGAGTAGAAGTACCTGAAGGCTCACCACTTAGAAATGGCCATGGCAATTATGATGAGGCCTAGAGATTATAGAGCAGAAAGCTGGGAAGTCACTTCGTCCTTGGAAAGCGTAGCTCAGCTCTGGCCACAGCTAGAGGCCGATTCCCTGGACTTGATATAGGCAGAGGGCTATGGCTGGCAGATGAAGAAACTTGTGGACTCAACATTTTTTAAAAAATTAGTAAAAACAAAACAGCACAAGAACTACTAAAAATTAAGTCATTGTCATAGAAGAAACATGTGAGAAGACCATTGGAACAGCAAGAAAAAGCTAAGATGATTTGTTAGGGACAAATAAAGCTGTGAAGGCTAAAATTGCACCCATGGAAGAAGAGTTTTCCCCCCAATTTAAAAAGAATATGTTTTTGAAGATGTTAGAGAAGAAACTTTCCTGATGTAGAATTGAATCCGCCACCTCATAAAACAAGAACTCTGGCTAAAGAGGGTGTGCATGAATTCATCGGTAACTTTTTGCATTGCTTTTATTTCTTTGTAATAACAAGGGTGCATCTATTTTATAAAATCAATACTATCAGTTTTTACTTTAAATTTGAAAGCTTTAAAAGACAGAATTACCATTAAAAAGTGAAGACAAGGAAGTATATTTATAAATTTCAGAGTATGTAGCAGACTGTCCCTTATCATTAAAGGAAGAACAATCACCTCAACTAATTACATTGGCCAAAAATCAGCCAGCCATTCATAGAACAGGTGATGTAAAAACCTGATCAACCGCCCCTGCACTCAGACGATGCAGACCGACAGGCTGCACCCAGTGGCAGGAAGGCACAGCGGTTCAGCCACTAGGGAGGCATTTGCTAGGGACTATAAACCATTCAATATGAGGGCCCTTTGCCTCAACAATTTTAGCTTTTGGTTTTTGACACAACACAAATACGTGTATATATATTAAAAACATAAATATATAATCATTATTATCGCAGTTTGTTGGTAACATGAACAATCAAAAACAACACAAATGGTTTCAATGGAACATAATTTAAAAATTATGGTACATCGACTCCACGAAGTAGTATGTGATGTTAATAAAAATGAGGTAGGTCCAATATTTATGCAAGTGAAAAACCTCTAATGAGTATAATATTAAAGTTTAAAAAATGTAAAATCCAGAATGGTGTACACAATATAATGTCATTCATTAAAAACAAGACACAAACTATGTAATTAGGAAAGTAAATAATGTGTGTAAATGTACAGAAGATACATAAAATGCTAGATCCATATCGCTCAGCAGGCCCAGGACCGGGTGCTGCAGGGGGTGGGTGGAACAGGACTTTCCCCCCTCTATATACAGGTCATTTGAATATTTATAACCAGGAATGTATAATGTATTTCTTTTGTATTAAACTATCAAACAATTAAACATATTAAGAAATGTTATTTATACCTCACTAAAGAAAAAGGTAAGATTTCTAGACTTTCCCTCTCAGAGGTAGAACCCATCCAGTGTAGAAAACGAAAGTACAAATGAAACACCAGCCTGCGCTGGTCTTTGTCATGTCGGTCCTTCCTCTTCCTTTCACTCCCTTAGATGGAGACCCCTGGAGGGAGAGCCAGACCCCCAGCCTGAGACGGGAACAGGCCCAGTGCTGACCCGTCCCCAGGTCAGGGGAGGAGTCCAAGGCTCCCAGATTTGAAGAGTCAGACGCTTACCCTGAATTTTATATTTCCTATAAAATTCAGTACCCTCTTTGGAACGACCTAAGTGAAGGTACAGGGAGCCTAGGGGAATGAGAAGGTTCAGAGGTCATGAGAAAATAACAAATTGCTGCTTCAAAACATCAGAAAGGACAGCTGAGTCCAGACAGGCCGTCAGCAGAGCAGTGGGTGTGAGACAAGAGTCCTGTGGGCGGTGGCAGCTGCGCCCACACCAGCGACCGACCGTCCCTCTGCAGGTTAAAGATCCAATTTCATCACATAGTCTTGCATTTCACTACACTGCACGCGAGGGTTCTCGTAAAGCAGGGCTAAGGGCAAGGTTTCCGTGAGTGCCTAATGACAGGCACAAAAGCAGCAGCAGAGCCGGAGAGAAAGTTAAAGGAAGGAAGACAGAGACTGACCTGGTGCTGAGGTCGCTGTCCTCACTGACCATCATCTCGTCCTGGGCCCAGCCTGGGCCTCTGACCCGTCTGGTGTCCCCTGCCTGGTTTCAGCTTGGTTAGCACCGAGCAGGAAGTCTGTAACTTACTTACTCTGTGAAGGCTCCACCCAAAAGGGAAATGAGAAGTGAAAACCACTTTTGGAGTGTTGTCAGAATTGTCCCCCTTCTCCTACAGCCCACCGTGGCTCTCTGCCATTGGGACATGTGGCAGCAGGAATGGAGGATTGAAGGGGCCAAACTTTAACACTAGGTCAAGCCTGGGCCGAAACAAGAAACTAGAACAAACAATACCCCAAGATGAAGGGAAGAATTAGAGCCCCCCCCCCCCCGCCCTTAGTAACAAGATAGGACAACGGCTGAGCCTTGACTCAGACAAATAGCCCAAAAAGAGCAGGGTCAGAGCTGAGGATAAGGGAGAAACAAATACCAAGAAAAACATATCAGGGTGCAGCCCCCATGCAGCTGGGCCACAGTCGACAAGAATGAGGAGGAGGCATAGGGCGAGGGTTGAGCCTTGCCTCAGATACACATCCTGACCAGAGAAAGAGTAGGGGGCCCAGTAACAGCCTTGAACCTAATCAGCAAAAAAAAAAAAAAGAAAGAAAGAAGCTGCCTATTGCTAACTGCCACTTCTCGCCCTTGTATCTTGCTTGCTTGCTCTGCTTATAAAAACCCGTGTACCCTTACAGCGGCGCGCCTTTTTCATTTCGAGGGAAAGGTGGCCCCTGCGCAGGTAAAACTTGGCCAAATAATAAAGAGTGTGTGATCAAACTCTAATTTCTGAGCTCATACTTGTGGGGATCGTAACATTTGGAGGCCCCAGCGAGATTCCCCCCTTTTGTGGAGTAAAAGGACGGGAATCAAAGGGACCAGCTCGAGTTGGGTGAGTTAAACCGAGAGTTCTCTTAAGGGGAAGGAAAGGCTAGCCTTTGCAGCCCTGAGGTGGTAGGTGAGACGTCACCGGCAGTCCACCCAGGGGGCTCCCAAGGAGGGGACGCCCTCGGGAGTCGCGACAGGGTCGCCTGAGGTCGGTTTTGGTGCGCAGCGCGGGGAGAAACGGGTACGGAAGCGCATGCGAAAGTGCCGTGTGAGTGAGCGAGTGCCTGTCTGTGTGACTCCACGGGACAGCGAGCCTACGGAGTCTGAGTGGGCCCCAACCTGCGGTTCCTCGGTCTGTCATATGGCATAACGGCTGGGAGGTAACCCGGATTCTACTCGGGCAGCCTTAGCTAAGACAGACCCAAGTCCCTCGCGAGAGGAGAGGCCAGGCGGGCGAAAGTGAAAGTGCTTTAATCGTTCCTGTCTGTCTGAGTCGTCTCCTAAATGTGCGTGTGTGAGGCCGGCCGAAGAGTGAATGGCGTAAGTGAGAGAGTGGTGTGGAGCCTGGCTGCGTGTTTAATCTTGACCCTCCTCGGTCTCATAAGTCACGATCTTTGGACCCACATACGTAAAGACATGGGACAAGGGGGATCCACGGGAGCGGTCGAGGGTTCACCTTTGGATTGCATCTTGAAAAACTTCTCTGATTTCAGAAAGCGGGCGAAGCGCTATGGAGGGAGTCCTCCCGACCCGGAGACCCTCCGAACGTTCTGCCAGCTTGAGTGGCCCACCTTTAATGTTGGGTGGCCGACTGAGGGAACTTTCCAATTGCCAATTTGTTTCTCGGTCCAACGAGTCACCTACGTGGTGCCTCATCCGGACCAGCAAATCTACATCAATGTCTGGACAGATATTGCCACGGATAGACCGGGCTACGTCCGGAAGTGCAGCCAAGGGCAGGCAGGGACAAACAGGAGGGGTAGAGCGGTGTGCTTAGCCGCTGGATCGGGCGAGAGGAGAGGCCCCCAAGGAAATAGCAGAGGGGGGAGTGCTGAGCCCCAGCCGTCATCGGGACCTGAAGGGAACCGGCCGTATCCAGTCCTGCCAGGCCGGCCGGAGGACCCCTTAGATCCTGTTAACGCCCCACCGCCGTATCCCGCCCAGGCGGCACCTGATTCCTCCGAGCAATCCGGGGAAATTGTTAGTCCGCCCCACACCCGGGGAGGGACCTCTTACAGTGGTGAGGGACAGAAAGGCCGGCGCGCTCCGGACTCTAGAGAGCCGACCCTGCTACCGCTCTGAGAGGTGCCCACGGCCCCGGACGCCCCTAGGGCGCCTCCTAGGCTAATCTATGTCCCCTTTTCCACGAGTGATCTATACAATTGGAAACACCAGAACCCCCCATTCTCTGAGAAACCCCAGGGCTTGATTTCCCTACTGGAAACTATATTCCGGACCCACCAGCCCACATGGGATGATTGCCAGCAGATATTGCAGACCCTGTTTACGTCGGAGGAAAGGGAAAGGATCCTGAGGAAAGCAGGGAAGGCGGTTATGGGAGAGGAAGAAGGGAGTTGGAGGAAATACTCCCCTCCATCCCCCCCCGATTGGGATCCGAACACTGGAGGGGGAAGGGAGGCACTTCTGCAGTACCGCCGAGCTCTTCTGAGGGGATTGCAGGCAGCAGCCCGCAAGCCCACAAATTTTGGGAAGGTGAGTGAGGTAGTGCAGGGACGAGACGAGACCCCTGGTGCATTCCTGGAAAGATTAATGGAGGCGTATAGGGTATATACCCCATTAGACCCAGAGGCAAGGGAGAATAGGAGACTCGTAAACATAGCCTTTGTCACGCAATCAGCCACGGACATAAGGAGGAAATTGCAGAAGATAGAGGGATTTGAGGGAGAGAATATCAGTAAACTGCTAGAAATAGCCCAAAAGGTATATGTCAACAGGGATGACCCAGAGGTTGGGAAGGCTAAGGAAGTAGCAAAAATTTTGATAGTGGCGCAGAGGAAAGGAGGTGCACCCAGAGGGAACACCGGTAGGGGGAACAGAGAGAGGAGGGGAGCCCGGCTAGAGAGGGATCAGTGCGCCATCTGCAAGGAGAAGGGGCACTGGAAGAGGGAATGCCCCAAGAGGAAGGGGACAGAGGAGCTAAGGGGGACCCCTGGGGTGCTCCTGCAGACCCTGGACTGACGGGGCCAGGGCTCCATAAGCATTGGCTCCCGGGAGCCCATGGTCACCTTGACAGTCGAAGGAAGACCAGTTGATTTCCTAGTCGACACGGGAGCCACCTTTTCTGTCCTGAAGCAGCCCCAAGGAAAACTAGAAAAGGAGACAGCCAAAATTGTAGGGGCCACCGGGAAATCAGAGACTTATCCTTGGACAAGTGCGAGAATTACGGACCTTGGAAAAGGGACAATCACTCACTCTTTTCTGATTATACCGGATTGCCCCTACCCTCTGCTAGGAAGGGACTTACTTCAAAAGTTGCAAGCCTCCATAGTGTTCAAGACACCCGAGGAAGAGAAGGGGAACCCCAGCTTAGAAGTTACTGTTCCCCTGTCGGAAGAGTACCTGCTAGCTGTGAGTGAGGCCGAGCCTCATTCCACTGGAGTTCCCCAGGCACTCTGGGAAAAGATACCTGGGGTATGGGCAGAGACCAACCCCCCAGGACTGGCTGTACATCAGGCGCCAGTGGTAGTCCAGTTATTGAGTACAGCCACCCCAGTGCGAATCAGGCAGTATCCGATTCCCGCCAGAGCCAAGGAGGGGATAGCTAAGCACTTGCTGCGGTCACTGGCCGCTGGAATTCTGAAGAAGTGCCAGTCTCCCTGGAATACTCCCCTGCTGCCTGTGCAGAAACCTGGGACATCTGATTTCCGCCCTGTACAAGACTTAAGGGAAGTGAATGCCCGGGTAGAGACAATACATCCCACAGTGCCAAATCCTTATACGCTTTTGAGTGCTTTGTCTCCCACCCACAAATACTACTCGGTCTTAGACTTAAAGGATGCATTCTTTTCCATCCCACTGGCACCCCAGAGCCAGGAAATTTTTGCCTTTGAATGGAATGACCATGAGCATGGCCTGGGAGGTCAGTACACCTGGACAAGGCTGCCCCAGGGCTTTAAAAATTCCCCTACTATTTTTAACGAGGCTCTCAGCCAGGATCTACAAGAGTACAGGAGAAAACACCCCGAGGTAGTACTCCTACAGTACGTAGACGACCTTCTCGTGGCTGCGTCCCACGCCAGTGATTGCGAACAGGCAACAGAGGACTTGTTGAGGGAGCTCGAGAGGCTGGAATACAGGGTCTCAGCCAAGAAGGCACAAATCGTGTCTACCAAGGTAAGCTACCTGGGGTATGACCTGAGCGGAGGATTAAGAACCTTATCTGAGCTAAGGGTCCAGACTATCCTAGGGATACCAGAGCCAATCACCAAACGGCAGGTGAGAGAATTTCTAGGAGCCGTGGGATACTGTAGGCTCTGGATCCTGGGGTACGCCAGGCTTGCACAGCCCCTCTACGACATGACAAAGGGGAAAGAGACTGAGTTTGCCTGGACTGAGGAGGGGCGGGAGGCATTTCGGGCCCTGAAGGAAGCTCTTGTCTCGGCCCCGGCATTGGCCTTGCCCGATCCGGCCAAACCGTTCCTCCTCTATGTGGCAGAAAAACAAGGAATGGCCTTAGGAGTGTTGAGCCAAACCCTGGGCCCTTGGAAAAGACCGGTGGCCTACCTGTCAAAGAAATTAGACCCGGTGGCATCAGGATGGCCAGCCTGCCTGAGGGCCATAGCGGCTACCTCAGTCCTGGTGAAGGAGGCGAGTAAGCTAACCTTGGGGCAAGACATCCAAGTAGTTGGGGAACACTATGTCGAGTAAGTACTCCGTGCACCGCCTGGTCGTTGGTTGACCAACGCATGACTGACCCAATATCAGGCACAGCTCCTGAACCCCCCGGCTGTCAGATTCCTTAAGACAGCTGCCCTGAACCCGGCCACCTTGCTACCAGTCCCCAAATTGGGAGTGACTCATTGCTGCTCCCATGTCCTGGAAACGGTAGCCGGAACACGGCCTGACCTGCGGGACCAGGCCTATGAAGGTGCTGATCTGACTTGGTTCACGGATGGGAGCAGTTTTGTAAGTAATGGACACAGGTATGCTGGAGCGGCAGTGACGACGGCGGGTGAAGTAGTGTGGAAACAAGCTCTGCCCAAGGGGACATCGGCCCAGAGAGCAGAGTTGGTCACGCTCACCCAAGCCCTCCGGATGGCCGAGGGAAGGACGGTCAACATTTACACGGACAGCAGGTATGCTTTTGCAACAGCCCATGTGCATGGGGCCATCTACCGGGAGCGCGGGCTACTGACGGCTGGAGGTAAGGAAATCAAGAATCGCCAGGAAATCCTAGAACTGCTGGATGCGCTGTGGATGCCCAAGAAGGTAGCCATCATTCACTGCCGAGGGCACCAGAGAGGAAGTGACCCCGTGGCGAGGGGTAACGCCCTGGCTGACCTGGCGGCCAAAGAGGCGGCGGGAGAGGAGGCTGCAGGAGTACTCCCCATGGTGCCTACCCCAGTGCTACCTTCCCTGCCTACCTATAGTAAGGGAGAGGAAGTAGAAGGGAAGAGGCTAGGGGGAAAGGTAGACAAAGGAGGTTGGATGGTGCTCCCGGATGACAGGCTTTACCTGCCCCAGGGAGTGCTAACCCATGCAGTCCGAGAAATGCATGCGAGCTCACACCTGGGGCGGGGAAAACTAGAAAAGTTAATATTAAAATATTACAGGGCTCCTAATCTAAGGGAGGTTATAGAGTCTGTAGTGTCCAGATGCCAGACATGCGCCAGGGTAAACGTGCAGAATCAAAAATGCCCTCAATTTATCAGGCATAAGGGAAATGCCCCTGGAGAGATCTGGGAGGTTGACTTCACTGAAATGTCAAAAGGGAAATTGGGATACAAATACCTCTTCACCCAGCACGAGTAGACACCTTCTCGGGCTGGGTGGAGGCCTTCCCCACAAAGGGTGAAACGGCAGCCACGGTAGGGAAAATCTTAGTCCGAGAAATAATTCCCAGATATGGCATTCCCATGGCGATTGGATCAGATAACGGGCCTGCCTTTGTATCCCAAATATCCCAAAACCTAGCTGGGAGACTGGGCATAACCTGGAAATTGCACTGTGTGTATAGACCCCAAAGCTCAGGGCAGGTAGAGAGAATGAATCGGACCTTGAAGGAAACATTAATTAAATTAAAGGAGGAGCTCGGGGAGAACTGGGTAGAATTGCTCCCCTTCGCCTTATTTAGGGCTCGATGTACCCCGTACACAGGAGGGTGGACGCCTTATGAAATCATGTACGGGCAGCCTGTGCCACTAGTGCCCAAGCTGACTAGAGAGGAGATGGAGGCCTCTAATCATAACTTTCTAAAGTCCTTACAGGCACTGCAGGCCCTCAGAGAAGAAGTCCGGAGCCTACGAAGGGAGGAAAAGGAGGCAAATGAAAGAGGCGGTACTGGCGAACTAAGGACACTGGACCCCGGTCAATGGGTATGGATCCTGAACCACCGGCGAGGAAGCCTTGAACCCAGGTGGATCGGGCCATTCCAGGTACTGCTAAGCACCCCGACTGCCGTTCGGGTGGCTGAGAAACCCTACTGGATACACCTCTCCCACGTTAAGCCAGCTCAGGACCCCAGTGAAGAAAAACCATGGAGAGTTCGACAGGACCCAGGAAAGCCTCTCCGGCTCTCTTTTACCCGCTCTTAATATTGATTGGACTAAATTGGGAAACAAGCGGGTATGAACTCTGGGAATGGGTGTTAATAAGGACGAGGGATGGAACTGTACTTGCCAAGAACCAAACATGGGGCGAGAGGATAGTTTAATTATTGTACCAGCTATATATATATATGCAGAAGCAGACCCCCATACAAGAGGAGGAACCTGAGATTCTAAAGGCTCAGGGAGGGACTATGGTTTGCTTGTACAAGAGGAGTCATGAAATGCATAGCCCCCATAAACCCTGATATTTGTGTTAGTGCCTATATCATTCCCCAAGTTTATCTATATGGGGGAGATTCTAACTTCCTGCCACAACCCTCCCCTCGAGTTAAGAGGGTCCCCCTGCTTGTCCCCATCGTAGCTACAATTGGAATAGTACGCTCTGCTGCCCTAGGGGCAGGTGCCCTTGTGCAGGGAGAAATGAGTCTATGACAGCTGTCACAAACTTTCTCTAAGGATGTGTCCCTACTACAAGAGCAGGTAATATATCTAGAGAAGCAAGTAGACTCGCTAGCAGAAGTAGCCCTCCAAAATAGGCGAGGATTAGATCTTCTTTTTTTGAAGCAGGGAGGGCTTTGTGCTGCTTTAGGAGAAGAATGCTGCTTTTATGCCAACCACTCGGGAGTGATAAGGGAAAACATCAAAATTTTGACTCATAGGTTAAAAGAAAGGGATAGTGAGGAAGGTGATTCCTCCTGGTATGCCTCCATGTTTAAAGCTTCACCCTGGCTGACTACCCTAGTGTCGGCCTTAGCTGGGCCGGTCCTAATCCTCCTGCTAATCCTGCTGTTTGGCCCAATAATATTGAATAAGCTCATAGCATTTGTGCGGGACCGTATAGAGGTTGTGAAACTGATGGTACTGTCCTAGCCCTATACTCTACTAACCACAGAAGACACTGAGTCAAGGGTTTGACAAAGGATGAACAAGAAAAAGGGGGGAATGAAGGGGCCAAACTTTAACACTAGGTCAAGCCTGGGCCGAAACAAGAAACTAGAACAAACAATACCCCAAGATGAAGGGAAGAATTAGAGCCCCCCCCCCCCCCCCCCCCTTAGTAACAAGATAGGACAACGGCTGAGCCTTGACTCAGACAAATAGCCCAAAAAGAGCAGGGTCAGAGCTGAGGATAAGGGAGAAACAAATACCAAGAAAAACATATCAGGGTGCAGCCCCCATGCAGCTGGGCCACAGTCGACAAGAATGAGGAGGAGGCATAGGGCGAGGGTTGAGCCTTGCCTCAGATACACATCCTGACCAGAGAAAGAGTAGGGGGCCCAGTAACAGCCTTGAACCTAATCAGCAAAAAAAAAAAAAAAAAGAAAGAAAGAAGCTGCCTATCGCTAACTGCCACTTCTCGCCCTTGTATCTTGCTTGCTTGCTCTGCTTATAAAAACCCGTGTACCCTTACAGCGGCGCGCCTTTTTCCTTTCGAGGGAAAGGTGGCCCCTGCGCAGGTAAAACTTGGCCAAATAATAAAGAGTGTGTGATCAAACTCTAATTTCTGAGCTCATACTTGTGGGGATCGTAACAAGGATGAGGAGGGACAGTCAGGGTCTGGAGGGGTGGAGGAGGAGGACCCCCAGCAATGAGCAGCCCTGCCCTCCAGGAGTCCGCCTGTTGGGGCAAAGATACAAAAAACATCAGTGAACCTCATTGCTCTCATGGCCCCAACTTTCTGAGAGGATGCAAAGGAAAGGCGTTGGGTCTCTGTGCTCAGATGCAGGGCTGCAGAAGCACCATCCTCAGAGGGATGGTTTCCACATTTGTTTGTCCAGTTGGACTTCCTTCCTAAGGGTTCTTGCCCAATTTCATTTAAGATACAGGGGAGGGTTACACCCTCTCTCCATTTATGTTCTTTCTTTTCTCTCAGAGAAGCAAACACCAATCTGGACAGATTCCATACACTGATGAGGACAATTCCTCCCTGGAGCGAGGGGCCTCAGTGTGTCCCAGACTCTGCACACACAGGGGTCTCTCTCCCCTTCCCCTGATTCCCTCCCTCATTGGTCATTTGGGGACAGAAAAATTAGAGAGCGGAGCCTCTGCTGGACACAGCTGTCCTCTGCTCCTGGCATCCATGGTTCACGGGACCCAGACAGGGTCTGATACAGATGATACTAGCCTTTTCTCTTGCCCCCTCACGCTCTCTCTCCTCTGTGCCCAGACAGCTGGCAGACTGGGCCCCCGCTGTGCTGGGTGTGGCCATAAATGCTCCAGCTTTGCCCCGAGGCTGCTTACAGTCACCAAGATCACCACGTGAAGGAGAGGCGGATAGCGGTCGGCTGGGTGGGAAACCCACAGGGGGCGGCCCCACGGCGGACACTCCCACACTGGGGTGGCCCCTGCAGAAGGGAAGGAGACAGTCCTGTGGGGCCAGGAAAGCTGGGCACGCGCCCCACTTTCTGCCAGCAGCAGTGGTTTCTGTGGGATTGGGGGGGTCTCTGTACAGAACACAAAGATTTTTGATCCAGGAAACATCAGACCCACCCAGGTTAGGACCCAGGCAAGACCCTCTTCAGAAGCAGGTGGACCCCCTAGCAGTCCTGTGAAGAAGGCAGTGCCTGGGGCATTTTCCATGGGGGCAAGGGGCACTGACATCAGGGACCACTCCTGTTTTTAGGGAAGATGCCGGAGCTGCAGGGCCTGGAATGCAGGAGAGGCAGCGACTGGGGAGGCACATGGGGTGGAGGGCGCAGCGCGAGGAAATGATCTCAATTAGTTTCATCAGGAGAAGCTTCCTTTCAGATGTCAGTAGTGGGCTGAGCCTCCTGCTTGGGAGACCCTGTGGGGACAGAGACTTTTCACGGAGATGAGGCAGGGAGTCTGGACCTGAAAACACATGAGCAGAAGGAAGTGAAGTAGCAGCAACAGCAGCCACTGGGCTGAGGAGGGAGACCCAAGGCACCTCTGCGGATGCAGGGATGGAGGGGGAGGGGCACCCGGACCTAAGTGGGAACACTCAGGCCCTGCAACAATGTCCGCTTCTAGGGGGTGGCCCCTCAACCAGCAGGACCCCTGGTCCCCCTGCCGGCCCTTCTTTCTGGGGAGACGCTCAGGCTGGGAGCTCTGTGAAGGTGCGTCTGCTCCTGGCGGGTCTCCCGGGTCTCGTCCTGCGGGGGAGGCCTGGGCTCTGTGCTCCCCCAAGCTCAGGTGCACAGAGACAGGGGTCTGTGGGGGTGGGGGGTGTGTATGTGTGTATTCCCTGTGTGTTTGCATGTGTGGTTAATTGTAGCAACCTGAGGCCTTGTGGATAATTCCAATGCTGAGGTTCAGGTTAGGGATTATGTTTGGGACACATCTAAGCCATGTCTCCTGGCCCACCTTTTATGGGGAAGAAATTGGTATATTGATCTTCATATCTCTCACCTTTTTGCCTGTTAGTTGGTTTGGATCTCAGGTCAGGAGACTTGGGGAGAGTTTATACACAAAGCTTGAGGTTTCTGTGTGATGTTCTGTTTTTCTGAGATTACCTTCTTACTCCCCAGAAAGGCTGGCTACCTGACTTTGCTGACCATGCAGAAAGCGGACTTTCTACCTAAGTGCTGACCTCCCCACAAGCCTGTGGCTACTCTCAGGGCCCGGTGGTAGTGAACTGGACACATCTCGTGTTGGCTGCGTGTGGGATTTGTCTTCCTTGAAGAATTGTCCTGTCTTAGTTTGCTTCATTGAGTCTCAAGCATTGTTCTCCAAATACTGCTCAGGGTTTCTAGCTGTTTTCTTCAAGAGGATGGCTCGATAGGAACTCACTCCTCCAGATCAGAAGCAGAACTCTCTGTCCTAGCCTGTAAGCAGTAGACTATCCCTCCCACCACCGGGCCCAGCCCTGGTCTGGCTGCTGGAGACCCCAGGGGTCCAGCGCCCTGAGCCCCTGCCCACCACGGAGGAGAGATGCTGCCGTGCAGAGCACCAGGGGCACGTATTTGTTAGGGGACACGCAGCCAGGCTAGATACGCTTTGTGCTCCTGTGCTCACGGGAGCGCGGACACACGTGTACTGAGAGTGGGCTTGTTTATAAATGAAATAACAGAGCAAATAATATGCCTGGAGAAAAAACAGGGCTTATTGTAGAATATCAGTTGTAGATAATACTTTTTTTATTGATGTTATATTACAGTTGTCCCAAGTTCCCCTGTTGCTCTCTCTTGCCCCATCTACCCCCAGCTCCCACTATCAGTCCCCACCTTATTACCCAAGGGTCATTTATACCTGTTCGTTGACTAGATCCTTTCCCATTTCCTGTCCCCCCTTTATCCCCCTCCCTCTTCCCCTCTGGTCACTGTCAGTCTGTCCCTTGTTTCCATGCCTCTGGTTCTATTTTGCTCATTTGTTTGTTTTGTTCATTAGGTTCCTCTTGTAGGTGAGATCATATGGTATTTGTTTTTCACTGCTTGGCTTATTTCATTTAAAATAATATTCTCCAATTTCATACATGCTGTTGGGAAAGGTAGTAGTTATTTTTTTCTTTCTGCTGCATAGTATTCCATTGTGTAAATATACCACAGTTTTTTTATCCATTCATTTACTGATGGGCACTTAAGCTGTTTCCAGCACTTGGCTACTATAAATAACACTGCCGTGAATATAGGGGCATATAGGTTCTTTTGAATTGATGTTTCGGGGTTCTTAGGGTATAAGCCCAGCAGTGGAATCACTGGGTCAAAAGGCAGTTCCATTTTTAATTTTTTGAGGAAATTCTAAGCTGTTTTCCACAGTGGCTGCACCAGTCTGCATTCTCACCAACAGTGCACTAGGGTTCCCTTTTCTCCACATCCTCACCAGCATGTTGTTTGTTGATTTCGTTATGTTGGCCATTCTGACTAGTGTGAGGTGAAATCTCATTGTGGTTTTAATTTGCATCTCTCTGATAGCTAATGATGCTGAGCATCCTTTATTATGTTTCTGGGCCCTCTGTATGTCCTCCTTGGAGAAGTGTCTGTCTAGGTCCTTGGCCCATATTTCAATTGGATTGTCTTCCTGGTGTT